TTCTCACATAGAAAATTTTAAAAATCATTAATCGAATTTTTCAAATATCTCATCTTGATTGTTCATATTTATCTTCAAGATTTATATATGTAATAAAATACGATAACTATAATTTAATCCAATAATATTAAAATTTTTCATTTCTTATTCTATTTATTAAAAAAGAGAAATTTTTATTGAAAATTATTATAAATGCTTCAATATATTGACGACATTTTAGATAAATTTTATTACCTAAATGTTATTTAAAAATCATTATTTAGATTTCTTTAGGATCTTATTTTCGGAGATTTTATTTATTATATATATTTTAATATGATGTACATGGATTAATTTGTGATACTATTACATTATATAAAATTTCACTTCTTATAAGTGAAAAATAAATAAGAATTTTTTATATTGAAAATTATTCTAATATTCTAATTTTTTGGTAATTTTTGTAAAAAACTTTTCTCACTTAAGGAACTTTTAAAAAATCATTATCCAATTTTTGGAGTCTCATCATCAAAAAGTCATTTAATTTTTTTCAGATTCTACAATAAAAGTTTGCCCAGAAATAAAAATAAATACCAATAATAAAAAAAAAATTAAAATATTTATTTTCATAAGCATTATTATTTATTTTAATTAACATTTTTTAAAATATTTTTTTGGTAAAAAAAAATTAATAGGTAGATAGATTGCTCAATTTTCAGATCAGGACAAAATATGCCATACCTAACAGCCTAAGACATGTGACTGCAGATCATATATTCGAGATGACCTCAACAAATGACTATCGACAAAATTCGAACCCAAGACCTCTTAATCGAGAAAATCAATCATTTGTTTGGTATTTTTAAAAATATTATTGACATAATATAAAACGTGCTAATAAAAATCAAAATAAAAAAGTAAGAAAATTGTATCTAAACAAAACCTTCACATTGAAACCCAAATAACGTGTCCACCAAGCCAAAAATTGAAACCCAACATCCTTCAACAAATGGTCCAGATGGATAAAACCTTAGGAGCTGATCATGAGTTTTAGGTTGAATTCAAAATCTAAAATTTTGCATGATATAAGCAAAGCAAGCTTTATTCCATCAAAACATATAAAAATCGTCAAGACCATGGTAGAAAATAAGTTTTTACATATTTATTTGCTCCATTTCGTTCATTCTATTTTGCCTTCAATTATCCTCTCCCTTCCGATGACTTCATTATATTTTGTTAATTACCTTTCAATATATCTTAAATCATCGTTGGTATGACTTTCATAATTTCAATTTGAGTCTAACGTACACATATAAATGGTGATAATGAAAATATTAAAAATAATTGACCCAAAAAATAAAAAAGGAGCTCAATCCAGCAAATGGATGACAGAATAGTATAGAATGATAAAAGATTATCTCCAACGAAGGATAAAAATGTAATTGGCATAACATGCATGAAAATCTTCGATTTAATAATTAATATAGAAGATCAAATTCATACTTTGTCTGCAAACTCAAAGGCCATTGTTATTACATACGACAGAGGTCAAGTTGGAATAGCAAATACCCAAACATGCAATACAAGCAAACCATTGTACTTTTTACACAAAGATGAATGTAGCTGTTGGAGATCAGATCAAAACGTATTCTTGATCCCTTAACCTAAAAAACTTTAGTTTTTAAGTTAGGGTTCAAAAATAGGTTTCAATTTAACCTCTGACAATAGGCCACTTTGTTGGATGCGTGGTGAGAGTCTATTGTACGTGCCATCTTGAATGAACTCCTATAGCGACACCAACAATCAGATGAGAGTCGTCTCTCACACCACGTATCCAAACTAATCAAATGTTAAAAGAGTTAAACATGTTACGCTCGGCACATAAAACACAGTACGGCAAGGTGAGTAAACCGTACTGTTGTTCAGGTAACGACCGTAACCTAGAAAACTCCTTAACATCAGAAACTTGTGAGAAATTAGTCCATGAACAACTTCATAAACCAGATAAAGAGGGGAAAAAAAAAAGGGCCCAAAATTAAAGAACCAACACCTAAAATAGCTAGAAATGTAGAAAGTTCTTGGTGCTTGAGCACTGGAAGGATCACGCGAATAAACCATCGCTGACAGACTTGCCATAGAAGTCTTTTGCATAAGCAATATAGTCTTTGAAATCCTGGTACGTCTCCGCACGCTCCTTGTTCAAGGCATCCAATTTGTCACCTATGCTCTGAAGCTCTTGGCTTCCTATGCAGCCAAAATAAGCACGAGCAATTCTCTTCAAATGGTGCATAGCAAAAGCGACTTTGAAATTGATGCGAAGAGCATCCTTAATAGCATCCCTCCATTTCAACAGTTTTTTCTCTGTAACTTGATGAAGCTTTAGATCCTCCATCTCTTTAATTGTAGCACAGAAAAATAGATAGATTTTCTCGGTAACACTTGAGTTCTTTAAACACGGAGCAGAAACATCACCATAGACATTGGTGATTCTTTCCACAGTAGAAACTAAAGACAGTGGGAAACTGTATCTTCCAATTTTTTTGTGCTCCCCATCAAAGCATACCATAAAGTCGGAGAAATCATTGCTGCTTGCAACATCATCATCAATTTTCTTTAGAAATTCACTCATGGTGCTTTTCTGGATGGTCTGAGAATTCTTTGGATTTTTCACTTCGTTAGACAACGGATTGTCTAATTCATTAAGTGCCAAACCATTCATTACATCCAGCTGAAATAAATAATTTTGGGATATACATCTCATAAGTCTGGAGTTATAAGAAAAATATTATAATTAAGTAAAAAAAACATGTATGTGATAACATTAATAAACATGTAAAGATAATATTCAAGTAGAAATATCTAAAAGATACTCTCAAAAGTAATGATAATCTTTTCAAATTTCTCAAAACAAATGCATTCAACACAATTATATACAATTATCATACCTCGTCATCATTTCCTCCTATATGAGAGCCCGCGCATTGTTGATCCTTCAAATTATAATTAAGAAACAGAATTACCATCAATAAAATCACACGATATATATATATGTATATATATATGATAGCATGTTAAATCCTGATTTCTTCTTGTTTATTTTTTCTACATACTACAGTTTTGGGGCTTGATGGAGGTTTCAATTTTGTCATTAACTTGACTCACATTTGATCTCCTTTATATGGTGATTTTTGGTTTCCTGAATATCATTCAAAGTCCAATTTTCAAATTTGTGGTTTAATTTCTCAAGTGCGCATTTTATATTTAATGTGAAATAATTAAAGAAATAGTGAATTCTTACACGCATAGATGTATTAAATATAAATTTGTTATTTTTACATGAGTATATTTGTTCTCATAGATTTGTCAATTCTGATTTGAACTCAAAAAATTCATTCAACTCACTTGAATTCGACTCAACTCAATTTGACTATAAAAAATAATAACCTGAACCCGTCTAATTTGAATCAAAATAATCTGAAGCTGAAATAACTCGAACTGAAATGATCCAAATCCAAAATGATACAAAAATTAATTCAAAATAATTCGACATTAAATTAAGTATAATTTTATTTTAAAACATTAATTTAATAAAAATAATACAAATAAATATAATAAATATAATATAAATGATAACTTATAAAAGTTATTGAAAATATTAAATTAATATATATTTGTAATATCAAAATAATATAATTTTTATATATGTTATGTTATTTATAATTTTTTTTATAATTTATAATATGATTTAAAATAAATTATATGTTTTTAATTTTCATAGGTATACATATTAATATATCATTTAGAATAAATTATATAATCTTTTATAATTATACATAAGTATCAACTATCATATGGATTAAAATAAATTAAAATATATAAACAAGCCATTGATTTTTGTATATATATCATGTTTATATTATAATTATATTATGAATTTTTAATCATGTAACTTAAAGTAAATTATCTACTGAGTTACAATTAATAAAATTCAAAATAATAAGCTATTGAATAATGAGGTACAATTATACTAAAGTCATTATTTATATTGTAACTATATTATTAAAATTAAAAATAATTGCATATTAAATGTGCATTATAAATAAATATTTAAAATAATTTTTACATAATTATATTAAATATGTAATTGTGTATTATAATTAAAACATTAAAATAATTTTTATATATTTATATTAAATTAAAATAAATATAAAAAACTATTAACCGTATCAAATGTGACAAATATGTTTCCTATGTTTATTATATGTAATCATATAACACAGTTTAATTAAATATATTTTTTGTGTCTTACACTTATTGACATACTAAATATAAAAAATATATTTCTAAAACTCATATACGTTTTTTTCGTATCGTTTTAATATAATTTCATTGTATCATATTTAAATTTGTCAAAATATAATCAAATCATATTTTTTAATTTATATAAAAATTAAATTAATTTAAAAAGATACAAATTACTATATTTATATTTATTTTTAATTTTTTATCTTTTAATAAAAATCATACTTTTAATTTTAATAATTTCATCTCAACTTTGACCATTAATCATTGTGTTGCGTGTCACCATTTGTCCTTTCCTCTGCTTTTTTAATCATTATAATTGTGTGAAGAAAGACAGAGTTGGTTAAAGAGTTTGATCTTAAAAGAAAGAGTAGTTAATGGTAAGACAAAAAAAATTTGATAGAATAAAAAAAAATATTTAAACCCTTCTTTGATTTTTTTGGGTTGCCACGATAATTTCTCACTTTTTGGTATCATCGATCACCAAAAGGATTTTTTTCTACAGGCTTAAGTTTTAGCAATTCGCAACAGTCATTAAGGAGTTGATCGATTGTAACCCATTAAAGAAAGGTACCCAATTTAGTTTCCCAAACTTTTGTTGGGTATTTTCGATCGATCCAACCTTTGGATTCGTTTTTTACTCATTTTTAATGAAAAATATTTAGGATCTTACTTTAGCTTTTCTTTTTTGTATTTGTAAAAGAAAAATGATCTAAGTGATAATTTTAGTTTTCTATTTGATTTTGGTTTTTTTTTTTAATTAATAGTAATATTTTTGAAAATATTGATGAAATGGCAGGTTGCCTTAGCCGTTAAAGGTAATAGTTTTAAAAACAATGATATTTTCATAATGATATTATGATTTGAAGCAAAGGAGAGAATATCTCTGTTGTATCTTAAGTGGTAATAATACCTGACTTTAACTTCTGAAGATGATACTTAAACATTTAAACGTTGAACCAATAAGTTATATTTCCTAAATTTTGTATAGTCATTATTCTATGTTGCGAATGGGAAGCTAGAACTACACCTGCTTCTCTAATGTATTTATTTAATTGTTTATATGTTACTCAAAAGTGTACTTTAAAACTTTATACTTAGTATATCATGGAATTACTACAATAAGTAAATATTTAGGACGAAAGATTAGCTTAACTTTTTCTTATTTTTTAGCTTCCATTGTTTGACACGAAGAGTAACATGGCTGTGATGGTTATATGACAGGGAGGAGCAATCAAGGATAGACATGACATCTATATTTTACGTGCTATTCGTATCACGTAAAAAGTTAATATTTTATTTAAGGCAATGAATCTGTTTATTATGTTCTATACTGGTTGAGCAATTTAGTTCCTGAAACAAAAAAACGATGTATAACAATCATGAAAATTATCTAAAAATGTTAGACATATACGGCTAGCTCCTGCTTACGGTAAAGGTTTATAATGTAAACTTACTTAAATTGATCCTTATTTTAAAATCAAAAAATTAAACTACATAAACTTAATTAAGATTTTGAAAAAAATTTATTTAATACATACTTTTAAGTTTTATTATTTTTTGTACTAAATAAATAATATATTTTTTAAAGTGTAAACAAACTTTTCTTTATATTTTTTTTATTTCTCAAATCAAAATGTTCTTTAAACATTATTTATTTGAACTTAAATAAAAGTCCAATTATTACTTTTAAAGTAAACTTATTCATTTTAAACTCAATACAATTTTAATAATATTGATTTTGAGAAATAGATTAACTTATAAAAGTTGTTTTACTAGAATAAAATTTTTTAATATTGAACTTATTTTATTTTTTTTGTATTAATTCATAAAATTTTAATATTTAAATTTTATACTATTGGAATGCTCTTTGAATCTACTTTCTAATGGATCAAACAAAATTAAAATCCAAATTTTCTAAGAAAAAATTTTGAATTTTTACTAAACACTATATGATTGTCTAAAAACTGTACAAGAGATAGTTTTGAAAATTCACTATAATTTGAATACAATGAATTAGATGATGAACTTTCTATGAATAAAAAGTCCTTTAAGTCTAGTTTCTAAATGTTCAATCAGTTTTTTATTTAAACTCGTATAACTTAAGATATAATCAAATTAGTGAGTAGACTACAAAACAAGCGACAACTAATGGCACTATTCATCTAGAATAATTCAGCATCCAAAATCTAGCTGACCCAATCGATCGGGTACCAAAACCAATCGATCCCTCAACTGTAACGATAAAAACTTAGTGAAATTCAAGAACCAGTCGATTCCTTATCAAAACCAATCAATCCTTTCATCCCAAACAAGCTCCGACGGCTAGTTTCAAAAGAAAAAATCATGTGTTTTCATTTCCCAAGCTTCTCTAACGGCTAGTTTCTCCAATTCCTCTATAAATTGAGAATTTCAAACATTACCAAGAAGGCTTAAAGAAACAGAAAGCAAGCATATAACCAAGTCATATTTTCATTTCTCTTAAAAAAAATCAAGAGTTTTAAGAGTCAAAAGTCCATAATTTGTTGATCCAAGCCATCTTTGTTGTGATTAATTCATCCAATATCCTTGTGTTCAATTAGCAAACACTTAGCCTTTGATAGGTTTTATAGGGTTACATTTTCAATTGAGTGATTTTGTAAATCAAGAGGTCTATTATGAAAATGGGGTTTCAACCCTTTATGTTAATGTGTTTTGGGACCAATCAAAGGCCATGGGCTTTGATCTTTCTTTTTACACAAAGCTCTAGCTACTTAATAAAAAAAGGTGAGACTATTTTAAGGTGGAGTCACAAAAGCCAAGAAGAGAACGAAGAAAAGCCAAAAAAAATAGAGAGAAAAAAAAGAAAGAAAAGTTGGATGAATAGAAGTCAATCCGTGGTTCGATTGAGCTGAAGCTTTATCAGCAGGTTTATGATTTCGAGTTTTACATTTTGAACGGTGAAGATTGAGTTTGAAGCTCTCTAGGAACAAGTTCAGTGTGTATTTGTTGAGTTACTTATTTGGTAAAATTTTTTCAATTATCTTTATAGTTGTTGATTAGCTCTAGTTTTAGCTAAATAAAAACTTAGTATATCTATTATTTGATAATAAAGATTTTTCTGATAGTCTGTGATTTTTCTCTCTACATTAGAGGATTTTTCATGTAAATCTTGATATGCTTTATTTTTTTATATTTTGTATTGTTGATTGTTGCCTATTTCTGTGGGTTTATTGTAATATATTACTTCTGCATTGTTGTGTTTATTGCTTCAGACTTAACAAGTGGCATTAAAACGAAGGTTATTTTGAGATAACGATACAGAAGTAACCCAAGACAAAAGTAAATTCTGTTTGAGATCATGAAAAGTGATACAAATTCCATAATAAAATTGATAGCATCAAATTATTCAATTTAGAAGCCTTTGATGGAAGATCATTTATACTGCAAAGATTTGTATGAGCCGATATTGAGTAATTCTGCTAAACTAGCAAATATGAAAGATGAAACTAAAAGAAATTAGGCAAAAAAAAGCTGACTACTATCAGAAAATGAGTTGATATCAGTGTGTTCCAGCATGTAACGCAAAAGATAGATGCTCACACTGTTTGAGAAAAATTGACAACATTATATGAGAAAAAAATAAGTATGAATAAAGTTATGCTTGTTAAAAAGCTTACAACTTTACAATACATGAATGAACGATCGA